GTGTCTTTTGTATTCTATGCCTTCCAAGTACTCCCTAGCCGTGTGTAAGGTCCTTTCTGGTGCACCAGCCCCTCTGCCTTACCCTGATCTTTGGTGGATGGGCTGCTGGGGCAATAGGAGGATCTGATCTGTATCCAGAATTGACCATAACAGAAAGTGAGTTAAGATTTGAGAGAGCACTTTGATGTTTTCACTTTTCTGCCTAACTTGCAGGCACAACCTACATGTGATTATTGATGAGACTTCCATGCTGTCTGAGTTTCGTGCGTCCATCCCATTCCACAGTGTTCTGAACATGAAAAGGTGAGTTGCTCTCAGCTGTAGCGGGAATAAGAACATTAGCTTCCTGCTTTTGCACAGTGATTTCATGTGTCATAAATTTACCTGGCTAAGTTTCAGGAATTGAGTTAAATGTGGAAATAAACAAAGTATGATCTTTCCTCCTAAGTACCTTTGATCTAAATACCATGTTGTATATGAGATACTTGAGGGCATGGTAGAAAGACCACTGTCTAAAATAAAGATAAACCTCTACAAAAGGTCTGGGTAGTGGACCTCCAGCCAGTTCCCAATTCCCACACATAGACCTTAAGACTTCAGCACTCAAACATTTCTCTATAACCTTGATTGTACTGTCTCCTCTCCAGTTTGCCTGACCCCAACAGGACCCATGTGATCTGGGGCAACAGTAAGGTGAGTCCCAACAGCCTATCCTTGGGTTGGGAAGGAATGGGAGCCAAGAACATAAGGTATTCCCTCCCTTACTCTCTTCCTCTAGAGTTTTGGGATCTCTGGCTTCCGTTTTGGCACTCTGTACACCCACAACAAGGAGGTGGTCTCTGCTGTGGGCGCTTTTGGCTTCCTCCACGGCATCTCTGGCATCACCCAGCACAAGCTGTGTCGGCTGCTCCAGGACAGAGGTACTGAGCTCCATCCAGGCATCTCGGTGCTCAGGGCCACGGGGGATTCCTGGGTCTGCTTGGGCCTCTGACATGCCTTCAGTCCCCTGACATCCTGTTTGCTGTCTCAGGTGTCATGGTGGAGGACAGGAAGTTTGAAGGAAGGCAGGATGCAGCTCAGAGGGGACACTAGGGTGTAGACAGAAGCGGGAGGCGCTGGTCTAAAAGCCAGGATGGGCTTTAATTTCTGGCTGTTTGGTAGCTCGTGCTCTACCTGGAAAGGGGATAGACAATCATATGCAGACTTCAGGGGGAACTTCAGAAATCCGTCCTTACGTCAAGGCCTCTTTCCCCTTTCCAATATTCTGCTTGCTCAGGCAAAGATTACAAAGAAATAAGTGCCCTGACTCCTCAAGTCTGACCTAACTTCACCTGCCAAGGTGGCCAAGGAAGCGCTGCCATTTGGGCAAGTTGCTGTGGCTACATCTATGGCCCTTGGGTTCTTCTGCCCCTTGGATCTGATGTGAATGCTGGTGTCAGGGAGAACTTCCCCCTTTAGTGCCATGGCCCAAACATAGAGAAGGGCCCCTTTCTTTAATTCCCTGTAGTAGAACAGATGCCAGTCTAGCAGATTTCAATTAAAAGCTGGGATATCTATAATAAGCTGGGATATCTGTAATAATAAAAGCGTAATATGCTAATTAGACCAGACAGCCGAACGACCTTCTGGATGTCCTTCTGGATGAAGCCACAGCGGCGGGGGCCAAGGCAGAGGCAGTTAGAGGCATCAGGCAGGCAGGCAACTGGTTAGGGGCCACCAGGCAGGCACGTGAGCGGTTAGGGGTGATGAGGCAGGCAAGCAGAGGGGTAGGGGTGATAAGGCAGGCAAGCAGAGGGGTTAGGGGTGACCAGACAGGTAGGCAGAGAGGTTAGGGGTGGTCAGGAAGGCAGGCAGGCAAGCAGTTAGGAGCTGGCGGTCCCAGATTGCAAGAGGGTGCAGGCCGGGCTGAGGGACACCCCCCTCCATGAATGGATTTCATGCACCAGGCCTCTAGTAATTAAATGAAAGTAACCAAATAATCTGGTTGAGAAAACAACTTAACTTTCATCTTTGGGTGAGTAAAAGGGTAGATAGGAGAAATCCAATTACCTGTTTCCCTACATGGTGCCAGGCCCTTTTTTTTTTTTTTAACTAAATCTTTATTGTTCAGATTACATTTGCATCAACCCTGTCAGAGCTGTAAACTCAAACAGAACACTCCTACAGGTTTACTGAGACGCCCAGTGTCTCCTCCACAGCTCCACAGCTGTAGGAGGTGAGTTTCGAATATGGATGCTATCAGCTCAAATATAGTACAGAGTCAGTCTTGGACAGAAATAGCTGCCAGGAAGTCCAGGTAGGGAGCATGTGGCAAAGAATTCTTGGCAGTTCTTTGCCACAAGACCTGTGACAGCATTCTCCCCTATCACCATCCAGAATGGATTGACAACGTGTACCTGCCCACTAATCGCTCCCGGATGCAGGAAGCTCACAGATACATCACTAACAGGTTGAAGACATTGAAGATCCCTTTTCTCAATCGTGGCTCTGGTCTCTATATCTGGGTCAACTTGAAAGAGGTGAGCTCTGGAAATGAGGACAGGTGTCCTTGGGCAGACCTGCCTGATAGGTCTTGGGCTCAGCTCTGTCCCCCTGCCTTCCCTAGTACCTGGACCCATGCACATTTGAGGAAGAGCAGCTCCTTTATCGCCGCTTCCTGGACAACAAGCTCCTATTGGCCCCTGGCAAGGCCTACATGTGTAAGGAGCCTGGCTGGTTCCGCCTCACCTTTACGGATAATCCCCTCCGCCTGAAAGTCGGTGAGTGGTGCTGACATTCCACTCCTGGTGTCTTCCACTCCTGTAGTCCTATAGCTGAGTAGCTATAGCTACAGTGTATCTATACCATAGATGGTTTGCACTTTCATATTTTGATTAAGTTCCTTCGCAAACAGGGATTACATGACCTGCCTGGGATTACATTGAGCAGGGCACTAATCAGAAGTGGTCCTCTGCCCTGTGGGGCTTGAGTTAGTAGGTGAGATAGACAGGCAGATGGTCATGGATGTCCCTGGATGTTATTCTCTGGAGTCAGATTCTCCTCTGAAGGTTATGAGAACATGACATTCATTTAACAATGATGTGTTGCATTCCACCACATGCTGGACACTGTTCTACCTGCTGGGAATCGAGCAGTGAAGAAAGAGTGTTTATGTTATAAAAATAAATTTTGAGCTACTGAGGAGAACAGACCGAGTGAAGGACACTAAAGGCAATAGAAACCCTGATGAGTCCAAGTCTATCGCCAGGTTATAGGATTTTATATGAGACACGAAGGTGTCTGGCAAGCTGATGCTGTGACAATGAAGCTGAAAAAAACCCATTAGAGATGTGGTGGGTAGACTTGGAAATGCATCCCAAAGAAGAGCAGGCTGAAGTTCAACATCCCTGAACGAGAGGCTCCGTGATGGTCTACCATTACCTGCAAACCTACTAAATCTTTCTTTTTCTCTGTCTCCATTTGGATCCTCCAGCCATGAACCGGTTCTCACAGGCACTATTGGAGCAGAAGCAGTATTGGGTAGAGAAGCAAATGAAGTGCGTACTGGGGGAATAAGTGCTCCACCCTCTCCCCCCACACCCCTAACCAGAAGCTCCAGCCAATCACATGTTTAGAATTTCCCTGACATCAGCCTCTGGTATAGTATTGACTTGCTGCTGTGACAGAGCAAACAGTGGGGCTCCAGGAATGAGCTCATCTGATCCCACCATCGCCCTCCTTCCACTGAGCATCTGTCATTTCTGGGAGCTTTGATATCTTTAATCTTTGCTAGTGGTTTTGGGGTGTGAAATGATTATAGGAGATTTTGGTGGGAAAGCCTATGGGAATAAAGAGAGCTTTGGATGAGTTTTGTTTTGTATCCTATATCTAATAAATTCTATATTCTCCTAAAGTCCAGATTATGTCTTTAATATCCAGTGTGTCCCAATTCAGACTACCTATATTCCAAGTGCTCAATAGCCACATGTGGCTAGCAACTTCCGTATTGGGCAGCGCGGCTGTATGGGATGGAGGAGAAAGGGGAAGGCTCAAGTTGTATAGGAGTGGCTGACCGCCTTTCTTCTTGTCCCACTGCCCAAGGACTTGGCCTTTCCTTGACATTGTGTGTGTGATGCCCTGGGAGTCACTACCCCAGCACCTGCTCAGGGTGGGATGGTCTAGAAATGGCCACATTTTCCAAAGTGTGAGGTTGAACTAAACCTCCAGGATGACAGTGGCCTGAGTCCCTCCAGAAGTTAGAGCCAAGACCAGGGTGACACCCAATTCCAGGACTTCTTCTTTCACCCCGGCAGGAGCTGGGTAACACGGACTCCGATCACAGCCTCTGCAAATGCCCCCTCCAGTTTTTTTTTTTAGGTGTCAGTGTTGAATAAAGAGCACTCGATTAGAAGTCAGACATTTTTTCTCAGCTAGCTCTGTGACCTTGGCTGAGTAACCTCACTTTTTTAACCTCAGCTTCCTCATCAGCAAAACAGGCATGAGAATACTGTCCCCGTGAGCCTCTCTCACAGCTTCTTTGATGAGGAGACCAACCCTTGGCTTTAGTGGGGATTGAATACTGGCCGTGTGGGCATTTGGAAGGATTCAGTGTGAGACTGTGTGGAAAGGACTTGGGCAGAGACGAAGAAAACCACTGCTAGTGTGCCACCCCCACCCATGCCCAGTCCTGTCTGGAGGCTCCTGGGCCCTGTCTGTTCGCCATGAGCATTTTCACAAGCTCCCCTGGTGGTTCTATGTGCTGCCAATGCTGAGAACAACTGGGCTAAGATCATCGCCAAATACAACAAAGTCCACTGTGTGAGGCTGTAAGGTAGGAGGTAGGGGGAGCTGTGAGTTCCTGCTTCCTGCTCATTTGACAACAGCAGCATCAACCCATTATAGGAGGATGCCCTGACTCTTAGCGTCAGAGCTGTAAACTCAAACAGAACACTCCTACAGGTTTACTGAGAAGCCCCGTGTCTCCTCCAGAGCTGTAGGTAGGTAGGAGGTGAGTTTCGAATATGGATGCTATCAGCTCAAATATAGTACAGAGTCAGTCTTGGACAGAAATAGCTGCCAGGAAGTCCAGGTAGGGAGCATGTGGCAAAGAATTCTTGGCAGTTCTTTGCCACAAGACCTGTGACAGCATTCTCCCCTATCACCATCCAGAATGGATTGACAACGTGTACCTGCCCACTAATCGCTCCCGGATGCAGGAAGCTCACAGGTACATCACCAACAAGTTGAAGACAATGAAGGTCCCTTTTCTCAGTCATGGCTCTGGCCTCTATATCTGGGTCAACTTGAAAGAGGTGAGCTCTGGAAATGAGGACAGGTGTCCTCGGGCAGACCTGCCTGCTAGGTCTTGGGCTCAGCTCTGTCCCCCTGCCTTCCCTAGTACCTGGACCCATGCACATTTGAGGAAGAGCAGCTCCTTTATCGCCGCTTCCTGGACAACAAGCTCCTATTGGCCCCTGGCAAGGCCTACATGTGTAAGGAGCCTGGCTGGTTCCGCCTCACCTTTACGGATAATCCCCTCCGCCTGAAAGTCGGTGAGTGGTGCTGACATTCCACTCCTGGTGTCTTCCACTCCTGTAGTCCAATAGCTGAGTCCTCCTTATTGGCCTTGCGTAATAAGGCCAATAAGCTATAGCTATAGTTCATCTATACCATAGATGGTTTGCACTTTCATATTTTGATTAAGTTCCTTTGCAAACAGGGATTACATGACCCGCCATTGAGCAGGGCACTAATCAGAAGTGGTCCTCTGCCCTGTGGGTCTTGAGTTAGTAGGTGAGATAAATAGGATGTCCCTGGATGTTATTCTCTGGAGTCAGATTCTCCTCTGAAGGTTATGAGAACAGAACAATGATGTGTTGCATCTCACCACATGCTGGACACTGTTCTACCTGCTGGGAATCGAGCAGTGAAGAAAGAGCATTTATGTTATAAAATTTTTGAGCCACTGAGGAGAATAGACTGTTTGAAGGGACACTAGAGGCAATAGAAACATTGATGAGTCCAAGTCTATCACCAGGTTATAGGATTTGATATGAGACAAATGTCTTGCAGCACATGCTGTGTCATTGAAGCTAAAAATGAGCTCTCAGGGATGTCGTGGGTAGACTTAGAAATGCATCCCAAAGAAGGGTAGGCTGAAGTTCCACATCCCTGAAGAGTGGCTCCGTGATGGTCTACCATGACCTGGGGATTTCCGGGGCCTACCTGAAAACCCACTAATTCTATTTCTATCTCCATTTGGACCCTAAAGCCATGCAGCGGTTCTCTGAGGCGCTAACCGATAAGAAGCAGAATTGGATAGAGAAACAACTGGAGGATGCACTGGTGGAAAGTGTGTCCTCCCCGTCCACCAGGCGCTCCAGCTCATCCTCCAGCTCATCCTCCTTCGTAAACGTGGATACCTCTCATTTTTGAGAACTTGATTCTTTTTACTCTTTGCTAGCCATTGTGTGAGAGCAAAATGTTTTTATGGGGTTGGGGTTGAAAATCCTAGAACAAAGGGAGTCTGCCTCCCTATTTTATTTATTTATTTTCCCATAATACAAATTTATTGTTGCACAAATGTACAGTGTTTGAACAGAAAAAGAAAGCCTCGCTGTCGCGTAGAAAGAGGACTTGAAGCAGCACGTGGGAAGCAGGGTGGCTCCGGGATGTCAGGTGTGTGGTTACGGGCTCTGCTCAGTGTATGTGGAGATGTCCCTTTCTTCAGGAAGCTCCGCCACGTTGACTTCAAACCTACCCTGAACATCATTGAGGATTTTGGCATCATTGTCATGAGACACAAAAGTGATAGTCAGGCCTTTGGTGCCAAAGCGACCGGCACGGGCCACCCGGTGGATGTAGGTGTCCGATTCCTCAGGCATGTCATAATTGAAGATGACGTTGACTCGCTCAATGTCCATCCCTGCCTCCCTATTTAGATGGGTTTATTTTTGTATTTGAAACCTAATAAAGTTCATATTCTCTTAAATTCCAGGCCTGTTTTATTTCTTCCTCACTCTTCATAATCACCTTTGGGAACTATTAATTTTTTTGTCCTTTTTATTTTTAAATTCCAAGGCAGGTTATACATGAAGAATAGAGTCTGGGGCATGCAAGGAAGCAAGAGATAAAAAGATCCCTCATTGAAGGAGGTTTTCTAGGGTTGGATGCAGTGTTCCAGAGAACCCTAACGAGATCACAGCCACCTTCCACACGAGTTGCCAAATGGCAGGGTGGTGATATAATTGCAGATATTCCTGCTTAAATACAAGCTCTTTCCCTTCTTGCCTTTTCAAAAAGCTTTTAAAATGAATCTCTGGTGCCAAGCCTGGGGTCTTCCATTTTTCTCTCTAGCCTCTTCGGCTGTTCAAATAACACCACCCATGAGTGTTTCTGCAAAGCCCTTGCTCGCTTGGGCTTCAGTCAGAGCACTGGTTCTGTGAAGTAGACAGAGCAGTGACTACCCTCATTTTATAGACAGAGCTTTCAGCGCTGATAGATGGCTTTGGTCAGTCCCTTGAGTTTGTGACCATCCTCTCGTTTGGGTCCAGGTTTGGTGGTTATTGTTCCTTGATGACAATCTTCTGATTTTGTTTTTTTAATCAAAAAGCATAAGAAAAAATCATCATTCTTCCAGTTTTTTTCTCTACACATGGTTTTTTAGAAATCAACGATGGCTAATAGAAACAGAAAGGAATTCATTGGATGAATGAGGGAGATCATGGAATCAGAAAAGAAGGTACATGAAAACCAGAGATGCTCTTGGGATCTTTGAAATGGCAGCTAATATACAATCCTCAAAGGCAGTTTGCTATACAGATATTCACATCTACAAGTATATACATATTAGAGGCCTGGTGCACAAAATTTGTGCAGCGGGGGTGTCCCCTCAGCCCAGCCTGCATCCTTTCCAATCTGGGCTTAAACTGGCAGTCAGGCATCCCTCTCACAATCCGGGACCACTGGCTCCTAACTGTTCGCCTGCCTGCCTGATCGCCCCTAACTGTCCCCACTGTTGGCCTGGTCACCCCCAACTGCCTCCCCTGCCAGCCTGGTTGCCCCACGCAGCCTGTTCGGCCATCTGTTCGGTTGGAACGGTCACTTAGGCTTTTATATATATAAATCATATGTATAATATCTTTGGAAAACATAGCCTAGAACAAAGGCAGTCAGGGCCCCTGCCTGCAAGACAAGCAATAATGTGAGAGACCCAGAAAGAACCATCACCCAACAATACTGTGATCTTGTTAAATTCACTTATTAGCTCTCATTGTTTTGTGTGTTTTTTTTTGGGGGGGGGGAGGGGTTTCTTTGAATTTTCAATGTACACAATTATGTTGCTAATAAAGGTCATTGCCCTTTGTCCTTTTTGGTATTTATTTCTCAGTTCCAATTGCATTGCCTAGAACCCCCAGTACAATGTTGAAAAGTGGTGAGAGAGGACATTCTTGTTTTGTTCTCAGTCTTAGCAGAGTTGATTTCAGTCTCTCAGTCAAGTATCATGTTGTATTTTTCCTGTTGCCTTTAGTAAGAATTCCACTGTCCTTACCATGGTTTATGTAAGAGTCATGTCTTCACCCCTGCTCGTATCTCTGGCCTTTCCGCCACACCAGTCAGTTCCAGAGGTGCTGGATTTGTACTGTTCACGAATGTTCTACACTGACCCTAACCTTCAAGGCCCTATCAACATGTTTTTTCTGCTCTAACACCCCATCGTCCAGCTAGCTAACTAGGACTTATCCTTCAGGACCCAATCATCGCTTCCTAAGTGTGTAGGGTGTGTGTGTGTGTCGGGCTCCCTGTGGGGGCCAGTGCATGTGTTTGTGGGGGTGGGATTAAATCTCCCTGCTGTATGCTTCCATCGCACTCAGCAGTCCATTCCAGCACTGGCAGAGATCTGGCACGAAACAGCCCTTCAATAAGACTACTGGTCTGGATTAAATAGAATGCTATGAGGTGAACAGAGAGAAGTGGCTTATTTTACAGAACAAAACACGGAGGACTGAAAAAGCCACGAGAGCTGCTCGAGGTCACGATGCTAATTAGCGGCAAGGCCAACGTGAAGACAAATGGAGTGGTCAGAAGGCCGCCAGGTCTTCCCGCTGTGCTTGCACGGAGGGAACCTGCTGCTGTCCTGTCGCGGGGAAAGGAGACTTTTCTACTCAAGCCTCTGAGCAAGCCGGGGGCCCTGGGTGGTGTCACTCGCCGCCAAAGCCCCGGAACATGCAGGGTCGGTGGCAGACTCCAACAAATGTTGCCTAGATCCAAAGGAAGCAACTACGAACTCCAGTGTACACGCTGGTAGGGAAGGATGTTTTAAGGATGCCCTCGCCTAACTCCGGAAAGGTTTCTCCCTGGCGCATTGCAGGCTTCAGTTGCCTGGACACTGGGGGGGCTAAACCAGGAGGCAAAGGGAGGCACCCCAAAGAGCCAGAGGGAGGAGACCAGAGTCAGGGGGCGGTGGCGGGTGGCCCGCCCCTTCCTCGCCAAGGTCTGGAGCCCGGCCCTGGGCCCCTTCCCCTTCT